CCTCACACCCCTGCATTCACTTCTTTCCTTGGGCATGAAATGAGGTTTCTGTCCCTTTGCAAATGTCGTCATCCCTTTCTGTGATTGCACACTGCAGAGGGGTAAAGGTGAACAGTTTATCTCCCAACAGGCCTCATTCTAGATATGTTCCCCCCTTCACTGATGCAAACAGAAATAAGCAGTGATTCCTGCTGTGTGACCTCACTTCTGGATGTGAGTTTTTACCTCATTGTTTCATTTATTTTTTTCTGCACAGTGAAGATATTTTGCTTGCTGATAGGACGGGAGGCTTGAAACAACTGAGCCACCATTTCACTGGAAGATTTTGCTTCTAATCCTAGTTGGTTTCCATTTCCACAAGCCTTGGCTAACGCTATCTGTAGTAGAGGAAAAAAACATGCACAGAAAAGGACTTTTACCAAACGCAAATTAAAGCAGTAGAGAATGGTCCTGTAATTTTTCTGGTGGAAACAGTGAACAATAGAAAAATACTTGGAAGAACTGCTAAAGCAGTAGAGAATGGTCCTGTAATTTTTCTGGTGGAAACAGTGAACAATAGAAAAATACTTGGAAGAATTGGTTCTTAGTCTAGCTTGAATGCTGAACACTGCACATGTTATTTGGGGACAGGCTTTTCTGTCACTAGTTCAATCCTTGGATCACACCAAGGAAGTACAGCATTTTTCAAGAGCTATTTGTGAAGAATAGATATGCACACAAAGATATCACTCAGCAATTCTGACCATGTTTCTGAAAGGAGAAGCTTAAGTTTACAGTGACAGCATAGAAAAAAAGCAGCTAAATTCCCCAGGAGAAAAAAAAAAAAATAAATAAGAAAAAGCAACACAACTAGAAAAACATACCTGTGCATCCCAGCACCCCTTTGCTGCATAGTCCCGTAGCTTCCTGAGACTTTGGAGGTATCTGCCAGGGTCTAACATCTACAGAGAACAATATGGACAGATTTCAAATACAATCACCTTTACTTAAGAAACAGAAGAGAAAAAACACAGCCTGTAGGTACATCTATTGTTCCACAACCAGTCTGTTCCTCATCATCAGAGCTACAGTACTGTTGTTAAGAAGCTTTCTTCAGTTCTTGCCCAAGGTCTTACAATAAATGAGATGGGTCACCCAGGATTCCCATATATGAGCTTTGCAAAATTAGTGACAAGGCAGGCAGCCTCCCCGCTCACGAGTGAGCAGCCTGACCAGCAGTGCCTATGCCTTTAGTAGAGTCACTGTCAAAGAACTGCTTACACCTCTACTACAAAGGCATGTAGACTTGCTAGCTCCAAACACCAAGAGCTCGTTTCTGAGTGTTTTCAGTACTCTTCTTCATTGTGAAGAAGGTAAGATCTGAGGAAAATGTATCAAGTATGTCCCTTGCATGTGATAAAAGGTCCAGACATAATGAAAATGCTTTGAGAGAAGAAAAAAGGAAAGTTACTTACAGCAACCTTCCTGTTATTTTCCCAAAGGAGGTAGGAGCTATTTAAACAACCCTGCTTCGAAGACTCCTCAAACATTTCAAGAGACTCTTTTCTTTTTTCTTCATCCTAAGGACAAAAGGCATGATGGTATTTATGCTGCCCAGCCAAACTTAATGGTTCAGAAACTACAGAGAACTCTGTGCCATAAACTGCAGAAGTTGTGAGCCCCCCCAGGTTGCAGGGGCTGCTCCAACACCCACTCAGCATTTAAAAGATTCTGGCTGAGAACGGAGGTTTCCCTCAGCTATAGGAAAGCTTTCTAACCTGCATTCTGCTGAAGGCCATTTGCATCTGGTTGCTTTTAGTTCGTATTAGGAAGGAAAGGCCCTCTTTAAGATCTGGCCACACAGCAAACCCATGATCAAGCCAAAATTAATTTCACTGTTTCTAAAATTGAACAAGTTGACCACATTCCTTAAAACAACCAGGAAGTAAAATGCATGAGAGTAGAAACACCTTAGGCCACTTGAGGAATACAAAACCAGTCCTACTATCATTACCACATTAGCAAAGAAGTCATTTTCAAAATCCCCAAACACACAAATCAGAAACACTGCTCACCTCAAAGAGGCTCAAGACCTTTGCCAAGCAGTACAGAATAGATCCTTTCTGAGCCTGAAAAAACAAGACAAAACACTGATGAAGACAAACAAAGAACAGCAATTTTTGCTAGGTATTCCAGACTAAAATTGGGTTGGCCTTCCATTCTTCCCCCTCTGCTTTTCTTTGTCATCTTTGGGACGGTACTGAATGCCTCAGAACAGACAGCACGTGCCTCTCCAACCACACACTGTAGTTTGGCAGCAAATTCATTAAAACGATCAATCCGCAGTCATTTAAGCAGTGGGAGAACAGGAGCTCCTTGGGGAAGCAAAATCATTTCTCCAAAAGGGCTCAGTGCAGTTCCCAGCTTATCTTAAAGTCAAAGGCAGAAAGCAATCTTACTTTGTCCAGTTGACACTCTGCTTTGAGACTCTCATAGACCACAGCTTTACAACAGCTTCCAGTCAAGGACCAGGGAGGACGAATAAAGAGCCAGATGAAGGGGGCTGCACACGCGTTCAGCCGCTCCGCCAGACTGAAGAAATGAGACGCCTTCAACCCGTTCACTTCTGCACGGCCCTCGTCCGAGATGGACACTGCACAACAAGAGTCCAAAACAGGTTACAGTTTATCCACAACAGGCTGTTGGCAGCCAAGAGAGAACAGCATAACCCCAGGAAAAGATTGAACTCCATAAAGCTTTACAAGTCATGGAGCTGGCAAAAGGAGGAAAAAAAAAAAAAAAAAAAAAAAAAAAAAAAAAAAAAAAAAAAAAA